AGTGATACTGATTGAATAAAAGTTGGAAGCTGAAGAAAGAGTTTGATACCCGGCCATCCACGGTACAATATACATGTGGATTGTTGGACGAAACCCACATGGTGCTGCTTTCGTACATTTCTCGGATTCAAGTTAGAACGAAATAAAAGCAAAATACTTTGTGTGTCTATTTGCTCAGAATCCAAAGTTGAGAATGGTTTGGATCAGGCGGATTGGGTGTGACAAGTATTTTATAACTTTACACTTATGATTGCCTCTGTACAAATATATCAAACTGAAAATTAAACATATCTTAATTCCAATGAAATTAATGGGTTGCCGACAATAGCAAGGATGCAAACCCTGAACAGTATAGAGCTGAATAGCAGAGACGCAAACCCCGCAAGAAGGACGTGGCGCAGTTGCGCCTGGGTCTATCATAGATGGCGGTAGGCTAGACATGGTTTCCACATTGTGCAAGGGAGTTGGTATTCTATACTCGTCTTTATCTATGAATTCACTTTGTTTTCTTGCAATGACACTGGCAAGAGATGTCAAATTTTGTGAGTTTGCAATAAAAAATGAGGTTGGGATCAACGACAGATACTGGGGGGGATGTTCTGTGCAAAAGACTGGTAAGTCGGTAACAACGCAACCTAACTTTTAATTCGTATAGTCAAAGACAGTCACCAAATTATCTAGAAGTAGATTTAGTTATCTTAAACGGTCACCACTGTCACCAAGTGACTTGGTTGGAATTGGCATAAATAAACATGTTCGAAGTGTATTGCTTAATTCTCGTGTTGAATTGTTGCCGTTCTGTGCGCTAATGAGTTGTAACTCATCGAGTCTCACTGCGCCACACTTTGAATAAAGCTTTAAAGTTTGCCAGCTTCTCGAAACTTTATTTTATAACTTCAAAAAAGAAGAAAACGTTTGAAAATGTTATTAAGTTGGAACGTGAAATTTGCTCTTTGGAAATATTGCACTGCGAACAGGCACTTTCTACAAAAATGTCAACGGTAAACAAACTGAAATCGAGCTGCCAAGCAAGAGCAGAGCAATGAATCATGGGGAACAAGCAAATGATTAAATAATCATGTGTATTAGCGTGAACGCAGTTTAGTTTCCCGACAAGCAACTGAATTTCTACAGATACTTTATATTTCTCCCTCTTTCCATAACTGATTTCAAATAAGTTTGGATTTGAACATATTTCCTTTCTTTCCAGGTGGCACTACGCGGAAGCATAGCATTCCGTTGCCCAACTATAGTTGCCATTTAGATGTAGAACTTTTGGTCCCATGTTCTTCAATTGACTCGTATGGGTGAATTTGGCATCGATTGAGCTATTGGTTCGCTCGTAGTTAATTTTTAGACTTTGGGGATAGTTTGGGCGGCTTTGTATTTTTATATCAAGCTCGTCTGAAGATTTTTGCTAAAAAATCGCTTCAAATATCGAAATTTGGGTTCCAGTATTCAATACCAGACGCATCAGCTTACTGGTAGTGTGGATTTAGTCCCGATTAAACCATTGATTCCTTCACAAGAAATTTTCCAACTTTGGGAATATTTTTTTTTACTTGCGAAATTGAAGAACGATTTGAGTCACAGAGTTCGTTTTAATACATTGGATAGAGAATGCGAAATTCGATTCAGTTATAACAACGTGCGTAAGTAAATTGTGGTAAATGTGTGGCAAAAAGTCACACAAAATTTGAATATCAGACATTTAAGACCAAGTTACACATGGTCCAAGTCCATTTACACCACAATTTCATTTAAAAAAGCGTCTTCTACAGAATGTCAATCTTTTCAATTATCAAAGTTTCGGCTGGCTTTATTTTGGAAAATGTATTTTTGTATTGAAGAGTGCAGTTGCTTAAAACCGTTTATTTTCAAATCAACCTTCATAAAGCGCGCATAATTCAGGATTTTATGTGATTTGAATGAACTTCTGAAGGCATTTTGACGACATTTAGACCGCACGCACTCTTCTTTACTGAACGCACAACTCTGAACTTGGTAGAGTATTTTTCGTTTCCGGGAAATTCCTCTTGGAAAAAATCAATTTGAAATGTGTCCCCCAATAGTTCTGTGAAGTAGGTAGGGCACTTTTGTGTTGTTGCCGCTCTCTGCGCTAATGAGTTATAACTCATGGCATCCCACTGGGCCGCACTTTGAATTGCAAAAACTTGCTCTACGCTTAGCATTTCATCCAGTGGCGGG